GTTTTAGTAAATTTTTTATTAAAAAAAAATTCAATATTACCACGAGAATCCTAAAATTGAAACAAACATATGGTAGTAAATTTGTAATGACATACTTTTGTTTTAAACATGTTCTGTCTTAATTGTTTTAAATGATGTCATGTTGAAATTTTTTATCAATCTATTGCTAATTACCACAGGTGCCCACATTCTTGATGCACATATCAGTTTTCATCACTGGCCTTGTGTTTTCGGCATACTTTTCATGGAGATTAACCGTCGTGGCCATCCCAACACTTGTTCTTCTTTTAATCCCAGGGTTGATCTATGGCAAATACCTTGTTCACTTATCTAAGAAATCTTTCAAAGAATACGCAAAAGCAAACTCCATCGTGGAACAAGCTCTAAGCTCCATCAAGACCATTCTTTCATTCACAGCCGAGACTCAAATCATCAAGAAATACTCAGAGGTCTTGGAAAGGCACAAAAAGCTTGGGTTAAAGCAAGGTCTCGCCAAAGGTTTAGCCGTGGGAAGCTCAGGGATTTCATTCACCATTTGGGCCTTTCTTGCTTGGTATGGAAGCAGATTGGTGATGCACAAACAAGAAACCGGTGGACGCATTTATGCAGCCGGGATCTCCTTCGTCTTGAGTGGCATGTAAGTAAGTGAATCCTTACATACTTTCAGATTGCATGAAATAATAAGTAATTTTTTGTTGAATGAATGAATGGTATAGCTCTCTAGGGACGGCACTGACTGAAATTAGATATTTCTCGGAGGCTTCAGTTGCGGCTGCTCGAATATGTTCAAGGATTGATAGAATTTCAGAGATAGATGGTGAGGATACGACGAAAGGATTCATACCAAGAGAGAAAATGAAGGGAAGAGTAGAGTTTGAACGTGTAACCTTTGTATATCCTTCTCGTCCGAAAACCATAATTCTCAAGGACTTCACTCTCACGGCTAATGTTGGGCAAATCGTAGCTTTAATGGGAGCTAGTGGAAGTGGTAAATCGACAGTAATCGCATTGCTACAACGGTTTTATGATCCATGTGAGGGGTGTGTGAGGATTGATGGGTTTGACATAAAGACTCTTCAGTTAAAATGGATGAGACGACACATTGGTGTTGTGAGTCAAGATCATGCTTTATTTGGAACGTCCATAAGGGAAAATCTAATGTTTGGGAAAGATAAGGCATCAATGGATGAAGTTATTTCAGCTGCAAAGGCTGCAAATGCTCATGGCTTTATAACACAATTACCAAATGGTTATGATACACATGTATGTATTTGAGAATGAATTTATTTACATGATTATAATTTTTTTGTATTGGGTTATAACATTGACATGAAAACAGATAGGCGATCGCGGTGCACTTTTATCAGGAGGTCAAAAGCAGCGGATTGCAATTGCACGGGCCATTATTAGAAATCCGGTTATTTTACTTCTAGATGAAGCAACAAGTGCACTAGATGGAGAATCTGAAACATTGATTCAAAATGCACTTGATCAAGTAGCCGCGGGCCGAACTACACTGGTACCTTAAACATTTTTCAAACTCATATATGTGTATTTATTTGTTTTTGTAACAACATGCATCTATTGTGAAACAGGTGGTGGCGCATAAGCTTTCAACAGTTAGAGGAGCAAATATCATTGCCATGTTAGAAAATGGTTCCGTTAAAGAACTAGGTTCTCATGAAGATTTGATGACGAATAACAACCATTATGCAAAACTCGTAAACCTTCAAAGACAATTCGGTCATGAACATCGACAGGATCTTCAAGATAGAGTTAAAACTCCTGAGATACAACAACGTTGGTCTACTATGAACAGTGTCAATAGGCTAAGCAGAAGGTCATCTCCTGATCTCATTGTTTCTCCTTCCCCATTGGAAAGCATTAACACAGCCAAGATCAATGATAATCTCTCTTCTACTTCATTCACTCGACTTCTTCCATTGGTTTCCCCTGAGTGGAAGTCTTCTCTTATCGGTTGCATTTCAGCTGCAACATTTGGTGCAATCCAACCGGTTTATGCCTTAACCATTGGCGGTATGATCTCCGCATTTTTTGCAGAAAGCTCACAGGAAATGCAGGCTAAGATACGTGTTTACTCCTTAATCTTCACTTCCCTCACCTTTCTCTCCATCACCCTTAATCTCCTTCAGCATTATAGTTTTGCAAAAATGGGAGAAAGGCTAATGCAAAGACTTCGGTTGAAAATGCTCGAACAAATCTTTACCTTTGAACCTGCCTGGTTTGATGTGGAAGAGAACTTTAGTGGTGAGCTTTGTTCAAGGCTTAGTAATGAAGTGTCCATTGTGAAGTCCTTAGTAGCCGACAGACTTTCGTTGCTTGTCCAGACTATTTCAGGTGTCACAATCGCAATGATTATAGGTCTACTACTTTCTTGGAAACTCGCGTTGGTGATGATCGCGGTCCAGCCTCTCTCTATCCTCTGCTTCTACACCAAAAAAGTTTTGCTCTCCAACATTTCCCACAATTATGCCTATGCACAAAACCGTAGCTCACAGATTGCATCGGAAGCTATTTACAACCACAAAATTGTTACATCCTTAGGGTCTACAAAGAAGATCATAGAAATATTTGATAAGGCTCAATATGAGGCGAAAAGAAAGGGTAGGAAGGCAGCATGGCTCGCAGGCTTTGGGATGGGGTCGGCACAGTGCCTAACATTCTTGACATGGGCATTAGACTTTTGGTATGGAGGAGTGTTGGTTCAAAAGGGGGAAATCTCGGCCGGGGATGTATTCAAGACGTTCTTTGTTTTGGTAAGCACCGGCAAGGTTATTGCGGAAGCAGGAAGCATGACTTCTGACCTCGCCAAGGGCTCTGCCGCCATTTCTTCCGTTTTCAAGATCCTTGACCGTCCTTCATCTCAAGTAAGTCACAAACATACATAACATTTTGTCATCTTCTATATATAGGTTGAACAAATTTTCTTAAAACTATTCGTCGTATATTATTAATAATCAATGCTACATGTAGGAAAATATAAACCATGGAGCAGAACTTAAGACAATACTAGGGCGAATAGAACTGAATCATATCGATTTTTCATACCCTAACCGGCCTAGTATTCCAGTGCTTCGACAATTTTCCTTGGACATCAAGCCCGGGACAAGCATTGGATTGGTTGGTACATCAGGATGCGGTAAATCAACAGTGATAGCTTTGATCCAACGTTTCTACGATGTGGAAATAGGTTGTGTGAAAATAGACAGTGTAGATTTGCGAGATATAGATATTAAATGGTATAGAAAACATACTGCTCTAGTGAGCCAAGAGCCAGTTGTTTACTCTGGAAGTATCCGAGATAATCTTATACTCGGACGACCCGAAGCGACGGAGGATGAGGTGGTGGAGGCTGCTAGAGCCGCCAATGCTCATGATTTCATCTCGTAAGTGTGATTCCACTTTTACTAGTTATACACAAGTAGTATTTGCATCCTCCTTATACGGTTTGGCTAGTAGTTTAGTGTTTGTGTTGTTATAGTCAAAACGTTTTTTGTTTTCTTTGATATATTAGATTTCAAAACTTATGATACGTAACTTTTGAAAGAGTTAACCAAATATAAATTTTCGTATACATTTTGTTATATTTTCTTCCATTATTAGCTTTGTTCAATTCTCTTTATGTTTTGTTTTTTTTCTTCTATAAAGGGCAATGGAAAAAGGATATGAAACAGAATGTGGAGAAAGAGGAGTGCAACTTTCAGGTGGTCAAAAACAGAGGATAGCTATCGCTAGAGCCTTTTTGAGAAGCCCTACAATACTTCTACTTGATGAGGTTACGAGTTCCTTGGACTCTGACTCAGAGAAGGAGGTTCAGGACGCTCTAGCTCGGATCATGGCTAGCAGGAAGATGACTACTGTAGTAGTGGCTCACCGCCTCAACACCTTGAAAAAATTGGATTGTATTGCAATGATCGCAGATGGAACCGTAATGGAGACAGGGAGTTACGACCACTTGAAAAGTATTGGAGGCCAGTTCTCTAGACTTGTTCATGCTCATGATCTTAAATCTTGAAGAATTTTCATCAAAATTAGGTCATTTTTATTTTTAATATTAAATTATTAGATACCTATAAATGTGTCACATTATCAGTGAAAAATATATAAATATATATGTCACATAATCAATGAAAATTTTATATATATATATATATATATAGTAATGGGATATTTTGGGAGAAAAATATTTTTTGTAGGGCATCAAAAAAGTAAAAATGTTTTTTGGTTTCATCCAAAAATCATTAATTGATATTTTACAAAGCCTTCTTAAATCATTGGAAAATTATCAGAAAATATTCACAGAACCTTCTCATATTTTATATATATAGGATTTCGCATAAAAATTTAGTCAATATATATACTAAAATGATGTTGATAATATGATACTGAAAACGGCACAAATAAATTCAAATGATCATATCGCAATGGTTGAATCCCGACACAATTTATGTGTTGATGTCCGAGATAGAGATGAAACTTTACACAACCATCCATGAAGAATGTGACTGGGAGGACGAAGGAAATGTCTATATAAGATACGCAAGGTCATGGACTCATGATCATGAGTATGATTTTCCTTTTTAAAAAATTAGAGCTACTGAAAAGTTTCTTTTATATATATAAGTTTTCTTTGCATTTCGCATTAATGAGTACTAAAAATTTTACTTCTTAACGAAGGCTTTTTTTTTTCTTTGTAACGAAGATTTTGATCTCGATTATTTCATCTTTCTGTCAAAATCCTCTTGACCGGATCTATCATCCACATATAAGATGATTAGATACTTACTCACATAAGCATTTATGCTAACTTTTCTTTTTCTTTCTCTCTATGCATGCATGTATGTATGAATACAGACAAGTGTTTGACTTTGGTGATGTATAGAATCTGATTAAGATTTGAAAAATTAATTTATTAGATATTGTCCAAATATATGAATCGATTATCTATAGATATGGTCATAAATAGACATATATTACACTTGTCATCAGAATCCACACCTGTTTATTTTTTTCTTCAAAAATGTTGTATTCAATGTATCTTAATATAATCAGGTGTCTATGATATTCAAGGTATTGTTGGCATCTATAACATCTCTAAGAAAATAGTTGAGAGAGGGAAAAGAAGCGATGGCACATTACAGAGCAAGCTCAGAGGTAGAGAACATGATGATCAGAGACAATAGTCGCCGGAGAAACCAAGAAGAAGACGAAGAGGAAGCCATGAAATTAGCGGCTATGGAGAAGTTGCAGCGTCTTCCAACGTACGACCGTGCGAGAAAGGCCGTTTTAAGAGGGATCACAGGAGGTTTCAAGGAGATTGACATGAAAGATATTGGCCTCGCGGAGAGAAGAGAGTTATTCGATAGAGTAATGACAATGGATGATGAAGATTGGCATGGAGAGTATCTACGGAGGCTAAAGAGTCGTTTCGATAGGTAAAAATACGTAAACATTTAAAGTTCTTATGTGTAAGACTGTAAATCTGTTAGATTTTAAACTTTTTTTTGGTATTTTTGTCACCAAAAAATCAGAGTCTCTCTGAATCTGCCAACGATAGAAGTTCGATTTGAGGATTTAAACGTGACTGCCGAAGCCTATGAGGGAAGCAAAGCTGTTCCCACTGTCCTGAACTCATACGTCAACGTTGTAAAAGTATCATCTCGTTTCTCATTCGATTTCTTATATAACAAGGAATCAATATTTGTGTCTTCATTAGGTTTCTTGCATAGGAAGAAATCTATTTGCAGAGCCACTTATTTTATCCTCTCTGATCTCACCTAATCGTCTAATTTTCTATTAAAAAAGGGTATTGGAACTAAAATCAGAGTTCTTCCGGTTTTGAAAAAGAGAATCTCCATTCTTAAGGATGTTAGTGGAATCATCAAGCCCGGCAGGTTCATCAACTATCTCTAACTATATGTTCTTTCATTTTTGTTTCGACTCTAAATTGTGACAATGCAAAAACTAGGTTGGAAAAAAAAATTTCGATTGGGGATTAAAAATTATGATATTTTGATATTAGTCCATTGGAGATCTTTGTGTGCCTCAGAAAAAGAAGAGTATTTTGCACCGATGCAAAAGTTCTCATATTGTTTCTTCTTACTACAGATTGACTCTACTTTTGGGACCACCGGGCTCTGGAAAATCGACACTACTAAAAGCATTGTCTGGAAAGACAGAAACTGGACTAAAAGTAAAATATACACTTCAATATTTGAAAGACATAAAAAAAATGCTTTGATTGGTTATATAGAATGTATTATTTGATGCAATTGATAAGACTGTGTTGTTGAATGGTTAGTCTACAGGGAAAGTGACATACAATGGTCATGAACTGCATGAGTTTGTGCCTGAAAGAACTGCGGGCTACATCGATCAATATGATGTTCACTTGCCGGACTTAACAGTTCGAGAAACATTAAAGTTTTCCGCAAAATGCCAAGGAGTCGGCACAGGCTACGGTATGAAACATAATCTTCTTTATTCTATAAAGATCTCCCTAAACTGTTTATTGACATGGATGGTTGAGAGCAGATATGCTTGCGGAGTTATTGAGACGGGAGAAAGAGTTGAATATCAAGCCGGATCCTTACCTCGATGCGTTAATGAAGGTACAAAGAGAGATCATTAGTAAGAGAAGTTAAAAAGGAATTTGATCTTTATAATGTTGTGATATTGTTTATAGGCATCGGTTATGAAAGGGCACAAGGAGTATGTGGTTACAGATTACGTTTTAAAAGTCTTAGGACTTGAGATTTGTGCTGATACTATAGTTGGGAATCATATGAAAAGAGGCATCTCTGGTGGGCAAAAGAAACGCGTAACGACTGGTACTAATGTAGAATTCGTACTATTATTTTGTTCGCCGGTATTGGAATGTTTTCTTAATGTCATTTAGTTTTTGTGTGTAGGTGAGATGTTGGTCGGTCCAGTCGGAGCTTTCTTCATGGACAACATATCAGATGGTTTAGATAGCTCGACGACGTTTCAAATTGTCAAGAGCATCAAGCAAATGATCCATGTTTTCGATAAAACCGCTCTTATTTCTCTTCTCCAGCCTCCTCCAGAGACATTCGAGCTCTTCGATGATGTTATCATTCTTGGAGAAGGCCACATTGTTTACCAAGGCCCTCGGGAAGACGTCCTCGAGTTTTTCGAATCTATGGGGTTTAAGTGTCCTGAAAGAAAAGGGGTTGCTGATTACTTGCAAGAAGTGAGTTCTCCAACAACATTCTTGTTTTTCATAACACATTTTCATTACTTTTCATTGTACTGATCAATACAACAATATTCAATTAGATTTTGTCCAGAAAAGATCAAGAACAATATTGGGCTAATCCAGAGCTGCCATATCGTTATGTATCCGCAAAACAATTCGAAGAAGGCTTCAAAATGCACCATTTCGGGAGCACAATGCGGTCTCAGCTTGCAACGCCATTTGATCGATGGAAGAATCACAGAGCAGCCCTAACAAGGACTAAATATGGAGCGAGCAAGTTGGAGCTACTAAAGGCATGCTTAGAACGAGAAAGTATTCTAATGAAGAGGAACTTACGCACTTTCGTCTTGAAGTCACTTCAGCTAATTTTCAATGCCTTTCTAATCGGAGTTGTGTTTTGGCAACAAAAGAAATATCCCAGCACGGTAGAGGATGGAATCATCTACATGGGAGCTATCTATTTGGTTGTGCAAATGATTGTATTCTCGGGTTTTTTTGAACTTCCAATGACTATTGATAAGCTTCCAGTGTTCTACAAGCAACGCCATTTCAGCTTTTACCCATCATGGGCATTCTCGTTACCAACGTCAATCATTACCTTTCCTTTATCCTTTGTTGAAGTCTTCATTGTGGTCTTAATCACTTATTTCACCATTGGATATGATCAAACCGTCTCATCGTAAGCTTCTCTTAACATTCCAAAAACTTTTCTTTGGTCTACTTACTATTAAGTATATATATGGGTGTATGTGTTTTTGTTACTATAGGTTCCTTAAACATTACTTAGTTCTAGCATTGTGCGGACAAATGTCGTATGGACTTTTCCGGTGTATCGCTGCAGTGACTCGAAATCATGTGGTTTCAAACACAATGGGATGTCTTGCTGTCATGTGGCTGATGACATTCAGCGGATATGTGTTGTCCCGAAGTAAGTTTTAAGGACGTTGTTGTTGTCCATATCAATTCTAAGTAGTTTATGATCCATAAACTAACTAGTGATCAATTTTGTTTCACAGATCAAGTGCATAAATGGTTGACATGGGCGTATTGGACATCACCATTAATGTATATTCAAACAGCTATTTCGGTTAACGAATTCCGCAGCGAGTCTTGGAAAGATGTAATTTCCAGGAAACCTTTCTTTAAGTTTCCAACATCATTTTAAAGAAATCGAACTTTACCGTGTAGTATACGATTTGCAGGGTCTAGGAGTAGCGGTCTTGAAATCGCGAGGATTTTTTGTAGAAACTTACTGGTATTGGATTGGACTTTTAGCATTGATCCTATCCACAATCTTGTCCAACATTATTACATCTTTGTGTCTGGCTTTTCTTAAACGTGAGTGTCCTTACTTACTCTTCCTATATCTATGAATTAGATAAATACTAATTCATCCTTTAAACGTAATTTTTTTTACTCTTATAGAATATGGAATATCTAAGGCTGCGGTGTTACCGGATGAATGCGAAGAAGCTAATAGCAACAATATGATAACAGGCATAGACTATACAAGAACTACGACGCAACCATTCGTTGACAGTAAGGCCTAGAATATCTCTCTCTTTTCATCTCCTTTAAAAAACTCATGATCCCAAAAATGGCATAAATTATATAGGAGTAGTAACAACAAGAACTTTTAACGACAAAAAACTGCGTATACCTTTCAAGCCTCTATACATGACGTTTGAGAAAATCACATATTCTGTTGATACTCCAAAGGTATGCGAATGACATTTTCAATGAGAGTAGAGTATTTGGGCTAGAAGTTTTTTTAAAAAAGAGAATTTTGTAGGAGATGAAAGAAAAGGGCATAAGAGAGGATAAACTAGTACTATTGAATGGATTAAGCGGTGCTTTTAGACCAGGGGTTCTTACTGCACTTATGGGCGTGAGTGGCGCGGGAAAAACTACTTTGATGGATGTTTTAGCCGGGCGTAAGAACACAGGATACATTCAAGGGAAAATCCATGTTTCTGGATTTCCTAAAAAGCAGGACAGCTTTGCCCGTGTTTCGGGTTATTGTGAACAATCTGACATCCATTCCCCTCTTTTGACTGTCTATGAGTCTCTTCTTTATTCGGCATGGTTGAGGTTGCCCCCTGACATCGACACACATACTCGAGAGGTTTGTGTTTCTTAATATTTGATTATCGATAACCGGTATAAGATTCAAGAAACCATATAACTAATAGAGATGTGCAGCTCTTTATTGAAGAGGTGATGGAATTGATAGAGTTGAAACCATTGAGGGAGATGTTGGTAGGATATGTGGGAATTAGTGGGCTTTCGACCGAGCAAAGAAAAAGAATGACAATCGCAGTAGAGCTTGTAGCCAATCCTTCTATTCTTTTCATGGATGAGCCAACATCCGGCTTGGATGCAAGAGCTGCCGCGATTGTCATGAGAACCGTTAGAAACACTGTTGACACTGGAAGAATGGTTGTATGCACCATTCACCAGCCGAGTATCGATATTTTTGAATCCTTTGATGAGGTAACTAAGCATTATTTTTCATTCTATTTATATTTCTTAAGCTATGCACATAACTTTGATTTCTATAGCTTTTCTTGTTGGCAAGAGGAGGAGAAGAGATCTATGTTGGTCCAATTGGACACCATTCCTCTCAACTAATCGAATATTTTGAGGTTTGAGAGAATAATTGAAGTTATCGCTCAACAACGTCTCATTCCTTACAAATAACTAAACAAAGATTATTTAATTTTAGGGAATTAGAGGAGTAGGAAAAATAAAGGAAGGTTACAATCCAGCAACATGGGCCCTTGAAGTGACAACAAGGGCACAAGAAGATGTTCTTGGTGTCAGATTTGCTCAAGTATACAAAAACTCAAACCTATATAGGTAACTTGAGTTACAAGTTAGCATTTATAGAAACACTAATTGAACAATCTCACAAATATTTGTTTGTGTGGATACAGGAGAAACAAAGATCTTATTAAGGAGCTAAACATGGTTCCCTCTCATGCACAAGACATTCATTTCTCAACAAAATATTCACAATCATATCTCTCTCAATTCCAAGCTTGCTTGTGGAAGCAACACAAATCATACTGGAGAAATGTTCCTTATAACGCGGTGCGTCTCAGTTTCGGGGCTGCTGTTGGAATCATGTATGGAATAATCTTTTGGAGCCTCGGAAAAAGAAAAGGAACAAGACAAGATATCTTCAACAGTGTAGGCGCTATGTCAACTGTTGTTGGCTTCTTAAGCTCACAAAGTGCTGCAACTATACGTCCTGTCGCAATCGCTGAACGTACTGTTTTTTATCGAGAAAACGGTGCTGGGATGTACTCTGCTCTACCCTATGCATCTTCACAGGTATTTCATTTTCTATGTACCAATTAATCCTATCATACGTTTTGGTTTATAAACTTGAACATTAAACCATTTTGAAGGTGATAATCGAGATTCCATATACAATGGCTCAATCTTGCATCTATGGAGTTATTGTCTATGGGATGATAGGATACGAATGGACTGCTTCCAAGTTTTTTTTGAACATATTCTTTACCTTCATCAGCATCCTCTACTCTATATACACTGGTATTATGGTCATTTCCGTAAGTCCTAATCAAGAAATCGCTTCGATACTCAATGGTGTCATATCCACATCGTGGAACGTCTTTTCAGGATTCACCATTCCTCGTCCCGTAAGTAAACAACTATAACTACAGAGCCTCTTTCTAAATTCTGTAACAAAAATGCTCATAAGTTAAAGGGATATTTACCTTTGCAGAGAATGCATATATGGTTGAGATGGTTCACCTACGTGTGTCCAGGGTGGTGGGGGTTGTACGGATTGACGATAGCTCAATACGGAGATGTAGAGACGAGGCTCGATACGGGTGAGACGGTTGTTGAGTTCATGAAGAATTATTATGGTTATGAATACAACTTCTTGTGGGTTGTCTCACTTACCCTCATTGCTTTCTCTTTGTTTTTTGTATTTATTTATGCTTTCTCTGTTAAGATTCTGAATTTCCAGAAGAGGTGAGAAATTTTGTGAACACCAATATCTCATTATCTACTTGTTTGATAATAAATTTGTTACGAAAACTAGGTTTGTGTTACGGCAGAAACGAAAATTGAAATTTGTAGGCTTGGTAATGTACTAATGTGTATGTGGAGCTTAACAAACTCTCTCTTAACCTCACTTGAAACTGTCTTAACCCTCACGGATTCTTTAAACTAACTGATAGAATGTGACTGCGGGTAACTAAAGAATCGAACCAGGAATTTTACTATTCCAGGTTCAAGTAAAGAAATCGAGATTGCAGGTATTCGGCAAAACGGAACACCCCTTACCATTGCGATAAAGGGTTACCAATCAAATCATTTATAGAAAAACAAAGATCAAACTCAAGCAACCGAAGTGGATTAGACGGTTTTTCAACTTTAAACGACAATGACTAAACCTGAATTGTTAGAAGCTTGGTATTTTTATTACACTTCCAGTATCCAAGTTCTCACAGAAAAATGCAAAAGTTTATAGAATTCATACCTCTAGTTTAAGAAACTTAGTGATGACTCCCATCATTTCACCGCCATGAAAACGGCCAAGACATCCTCTTGCAGCTGCAATCTCATTCAACTCTGCAACTGAATCTCCACCAATTGCCGGAGGTGTTTCCCTCCTCCCACTGTCTTCCTCTTGTTTGGTGACATCTTCACTTGATTCCACAACTGTTGGAAGTGGAAAAGGGTCCAAAGATGTCTCTAATAGGGCTGATTCTCCTCCAACCGCGCTCACAAAGTCACTTAATCGACACATTGTGAATGGGACAGGCTCGAAGCTGTGGTCTCCATACTCAACAGGAGTAGAATGATCACCGGTCACACACAAGAAATACTGGTAATTGGTAGAAGATTCAGCTTGCCATAAAAGCTTAGCAAGCTGACGTATCGCCTTATCCACAGCTTCTAAACCTCGAACTTTGAACATGGTCGCCTTGTCATGACCAGCATCATCTATAGCCTGCAAGAATATAAAAATTCGGTCGAAAATCAGAATGGAAACTTCGATGTTTTCTGTTAAAAGACATAAAAAAATTTTAACCTTTATGTGAAGGAACCCGAAATCATAACCATCTGACCTTCCTGGTTTGTGCCCGTCCTCTCCCGGTACAAAGACATTTGGGCAGGGATTCAAAGGAGCTGAGAGTGCATTAGCTATAGCAGTTGCTTTCGATGTCAGAAGTGTCCTGTAATCTCCAGTGGCTCCGGGAGCTTCTAGAATGTCAATACCAAGAGACATACCAAGTCCAGCTATAATCTTTGTTGGTGCTACCATACACGGCCACAAACCGTGCTTCTCTTGAAAAGGAGGTACCTAAATACACAAAACCCGCAACACAGATGTACATGAAGCAATTATATTCATTAAAATCATTTCTACGAGGCAAGTAAAGTACTGAAACACACACCTCGATTCGAATACCACAGCCTCGTAAAAGAACAAGATTGGCAATATTCTTGCCTTGCGCAGCTCTCTCTGCATTAATCGGGTGAGAAACAAGAATGCGCGATATCTCTCTTGATAACTCGTTAACAACTTTAGCAGTGTGATTAGCTTCTTCTGATTCATCCAAAGGTTTAGCCTCAAGAAGCAAACGATTATCTTTCAATGGGTCTGTTCCAGATATATTCCCACTAAGTCTTGGCCCTTTTACAACCACACCACACCTATGTTCCGTCGCATATCTATCGAAAAAAACAAACTTTAGCCAAAAAAACAAACCACCCAAAATCATAAACACTAAGAAAAACATTTTGCAACCTGACTCTCACTTCATACTCAGGGAAAGATTGAAGTTTCATTCCATCAAGAGCAGCACAAAGTATAGGACCTTCTTCTTCGAAATATCGATCAGCTCTTCTACTAACAACAACTCCAGATTTCTCATCCAAAGTTGCAAAATTAGACTAAATAGATAAAAACAATCCTCACAATGTCAAACAAAACTATTGAATGTACACAAAACAAGAAGATAACAAAAAAAAGCACAAACCTTGAAAGCTATATCACCAGGTGACATAGCTAGTCCTGCACCCATAGACTCAAACGCACCACGACCTCTATAATACACTCTTGGATCATAACCCATAAGAGAAAGATGAGCAGTGTCACTACCACAACCTAAACCAACTTCTACAGGATCCATTAAACCATTGATTCCAGCTGATGCAATTGCGTCAAGATTAGGTATGTTTGCTGCTTGTAATGGAGTTTTGTAACCTAATTTTGGTATTGATACATCTCCTAAACCATCGATTAGGACAAAAGCTACTCTCTTTTTGACTTCTACATGTTCTTGTTCCATTTTTTGTTCAAATGGGTAATCTAGAAAACGAAAAAAGGAAGAGACTTTAAGAATTCAACAATCACATAGATGATATAATCTGATCAAAATTAATTAAATTCAATTTAGAGTAAATTATTGCATGATTCGAACTTGTTTACCTGAAAACAGAGAAATGATCTTCAATTCAAAGAATGTAATTCTCGAGTATCAATGACAGATTGGTTTTTTAGCTTTTTTTTTTTAAAGAATCTTTATAAAAGGGAGACGAATAAAGACTTTAATAGAGATTAACCCAAACCGAATAAAAACAAAAAAAATTGACCGGTTTAGATCGAACCAGCCTTCTAAGAGGAAACAATGGCTGGAAAGCCACTTTTGGGGGAAAAAAAGGCTGGAATGCCACCTCTAATTTTTAATTTCATTTAACATTTTTTTTTTAAATCAAAAGCTAAGGAAATGTCTAAAAACCCTTTCAAAAGATCAACAATTACAAAATCATACCTCAAATTTACTATCTCTACAACCAAACACTCCCATCGATCTCCAATCACAATCATGTCTACTTCTCTCCGCACAACCACCGCTGCTTCTCGTCTCAGTCGTCTCCTCCGCTCCTCCTCCTCTTCCATATCCACACTCGCTCTCTCCGCTTCCTTTCTCTCTATTTCGCCAGATCTATCGTCTCTTCTCCACTTCTTTATTATTCATCTCTCTCTCACATATGCCTCACTCTCTCTTCTAAATCTTTACCGGAGAGCCGTCACGTTTCTCCTAAGGGATCTCCGTTCAAAATTGGGATTCCCAAGTTTGCGATCGTATTCGATGATAATAAGTTCACTCAGTTTTCGCCTCTTTATTCTACGATCCCCCCCCCCCCCCCGCCCACATCCTCCTCAGTTTCCGCCGTCGCGACATCAGAAGACTGCTCTAACTTCTACTGCAACGATTGTGTCTCGAAATATATAGCTGCAAAATTACAAGACAACATCCTCTCAATCGAGTGTCTTGTCTCTGGTTGCGAGAGCTCTGGTCGGCTCGAGCCAGATAAGTGTCGTCAAATCTTGCCAAGAGAGGTTTTTGATCAGTGGGATGATGCTCTTTCTGAAGCAGTATTGATGCGTTCAAAGAGATTATATTGTCCTTATAAGGATTGCTCTGCTTTGCTTTTCATTGACAAGAGTGAAGTGAAGATGAAAGATTCGGAGTGTCCTCATTGCCATAGAATGGTGTGTGTAGAGTGTGGGACTAAGTGGCATCCGGAGATAACTTGCGAGGAGTTTCAGAAGCTAGCAGGGAACGAAAGAGGAAGAGATAATATTTTGCTCGCGACGATGGCAAAGAAAAAGAACTGGAAAAGATGTTATTCTTGCAAACTCTATATTGAGAAGTCTCAGGGTTGCTTATACATGAAATGCAGGTATATGTATATTCTTCTTCTTCTTATCACCTGTGATGCAAATTTGTGAAACAATGGTTTTTTAATAATTTTTGGAAATCGATTTCGTAGGTGGATGCTGTGTTGTCGTTGTTGGGTGGTTCTACTGAGCTTGCTCCTGGTCCGCATATGTTTTGAGAAGAAAGTAAGATACGGTGTTCGCCAAGAAATGGCCTTAAGGTCAGTGTATCATCAGTCTTGAGTTTTACCAACTTATGCCAAAAGCTGTTACAATCCCAATTAGTTAGCAGAAGATTTTAACCAGTTTCTTAGGCCTACGGAACCATTAGTATTGAGCTAGCTTTTGTTAAGTCGGATCTTAACAAAATCCATGAGTAGTTAGTTTTAAATGTCACATTTGAAGAGGCTGGACATATTTCTTCCACATTTCCTGGGATCAAAAACATTGTAATCTTATATAGCTCCTTTTGGTGTTGAGAGATCCTACTATGCCAAGGTTTGTGTTGTGAAATGGGAAACTGATATGTTGCCATCTCTTTTGCTTCGTTAATGGATGCATAAATTGCTTGAAGAGATTTCTAGAAGGCAAGGAGAGTTTAGATGATAGAACTAGGTGTAATACTTTTAGCTTGATTTTGGGTAGATGCAAAAAGATTAAATCATATGATTATGTTAGTGACTAATGCCCATGGCAACACATGACTTATGTTTTCGATTAAGCTTTTCATTTATATGTATCATATTGTATGCAATCGTTTATTTAGGTACAACTGGTATATTTAGGTACAACTACGTATAGGTACAACTGGTATATTTTGGTTTTGTAGTGTTGCTCTGTCAAAGATAGAGGATAAGTGGAAGGAAGAGCTTGATCAAGAACTGGAAAGAAAGCGCACAAGTCAAGTCTGCACGTACTTGTGGATTAAGATTGCACATGACTTATGTTTTTGTATTTTGTTGTGTTGTGGATTAAGAACATATGACTTCGTATTTTTGTAAACCAAAATAATATTTAGATTATATTTATGTTCAATTGGTTTTGTAGGTACAACTAGTCTATTTAGGTACAACTATGTGTATGGATTACTTATAAGAAAGTACAACTAGATCACTTTGGTACAACTGAGATAATTAAAAATAACATTTAAAAAACAATTTTTAATAAATTTCAAAGAAGTAAAAAAAAAAAAAAATATCCACGTAAGCATCATTTTTGGCGGCGGGATATTATTTTTAATCCACGTAAGCATCATTTTGGCGGCGGGATATTATTTTTAAATCATCACACGTGTGGTAAATTGTTTTGTTTTAAACATAGTTGTACCTAGTTGTCCAGTTGTACTGTCATATTCATAGTTGGATTTTTGCGATTTTTGTGTATTTCCAGTTGGACTCTAATAAAAATTAGTAATTTCTAGTTGGACACATGATGTTACACTATTAATTATCGTTTAAGAGGTTTTCAGAATACAATTTGCACGAAATCATAATTTTCACCTCTTTTGCATCAAAAGAAGTGATCACCTACAAAGTGTTCCTTATACTATAAGGAGTGTTTTATATGAAAACAATAGTATGCACTAGGAAAATGATAAATTCGAGTTTTACTTATTTAAAATTATTTCTTTATAGTTCAACATGTTTTTAGAATCCTTATTAACTCTAATTTATCGTTTTCATAATTATTGAATACAAATACGGATACATTTATGATCTTAGTTGTACCTTATCGAACCTAATTATACCTAGTTGAACATAGTTGTCTGAATACGACAAGTACATATACTGATACATATATGGTTATAGTTATGGTCTTAGTTGTATCCAGACAAATACAAAAGATTTTTAGTCATTTATCTTCCACAATATCATATATTTACTTTGAAATTAATATACTAATAATTTTAAAAATATAATCAGTAAAAACTTTATATATGAAAATGCATGAGAAGCTTACAAATTTGATACCCAAAGTATAACGTCGTTAGCAATAATATAATAACCAAATTTATTCTCTCTATCTAACCAACATTTATAAAGTATTGGAAAATATTTCGTCACTTTGTAGAAACATAACAAAGTATTTGATATAACCCAAAAACATTCCAAATCTTGAGAATGGGCAAATACTCAAATCTAAGCAAGAGCATGCATATCCTTGATCCATTGGTCCAATGACTTACCAATAGAGTAAACAATAAATCCTATCTTCCCCAGCTTCTCTACATCAACAACATTTCTATACCATCAAAGACAAACGCTGGTTTCTGCATCTTTTCAAAAATCCTCTCATAGTCAAGCGTCTTACACTCATCCCACTCAATTAACAAGCAGATTCCATGGGCGTCTTTAGTGGCATCACAATTAACAATCCAAAGACTGTGATGATCCATCTTGAGATCACATCTTTGACCTGCATAAGGAAAACATGGATCGAGTAAAGCTTTCTTTCTCTATCACTAAAAAGTGGTCACCATACAATGAGAATTTTCACTACTAAGCACAACATGGTAGCAAATCAGATTTTGCCTTACACACATTACAATGATGGCAACGAGGCAATTACAAGCAATGGAATTCAAGACTAAAGTATTTTTTGAGGTAATATTTGCCATAAGAACTCATGATTACAGAATTGACAGTTCTCGTTCCCAACATCGAATCCCACCACACTCATCTAAGCGAATCAACAAGAGATCTTAGATATAAAGTTATAAACGCATAATGAAATTCTTGCTCTTCGAAGAGAAATCAAATCAAACGAGAAGGACAAAAGATGAAGAAGACTATACAATGATCTGAAACTTCGAATCGTTTATGCAGGACATCCGGTGACTGAGAGAGCGTTGTCGTCGTCGTCGGAGCGTTGTCGTCGTCGTCGGAGCGGTGGTGATTATTGTTGATATCCATCGGAAGATTGAGGAACTAAGAAAGAATCTCTAAGTTTTATAATAGCGTAAGAGAGAAGAGAACAAACCGATTGCGAGGGCGAGACGCCGGAGACAACGGCCGGCGAGATCGGCGGTGCGACCTCTGGTTTGGGAGGAGAGGATGCGAGCAAAAGTTTTTGTTGCTTTTTTTGTTTTCTTTTTCGTTTTAGATTTTAAAAATTAATTAAATCAAAATATTCATTAAGGGCAAAATAGAAATAACACATTTGAGTGGCACTCTCAGACTCTAAAGTGGCAGTCGTGATTCTCATTTCCGGTTCAGTGGCAAACAAGCCTTGGTCTCTTCTAAGAGTTGGCGACTGGGTTTGGAACTTTTGATTATATGGATAGTTGATGGACCTTTAGTCTAAAGTAGTTTATTTTTCAAATCCTTATTCTAGGTCCATAACTATTTTTTGGGTAATTAAGATATAGTATAGTTATATTTTTCTTAATTGAATATCATCATAATAAGTAGATCAAATATAGTTTTCTTTGTTATTTTAAACTTTTCTATTTTATATATTTTTAGTTAGGATAATATCCTCATAAAGTTGTAAAAACTATTTTTAGTTGGTGAGAGACGAAGCCTCTCACCACTCCACGCGGAGATTGATTCGTTGCTTTGGGCAATGAATTGTTTGATCTCGCTCGGCATTACTACTTGCGCCTTCGCATCTGATTGCTCGGACATGATATCGCTCCTTGACAACCAAGACGCTTGGCCAACCTTCGCAGCAGAAATGGCATCTTTCCGGTCACTCGTCTGTTTTTTTCCTTCTTTTAGTATTAGATTCCTTCCTCGTAGTTCAAATACTCGAGCAGATTGTTTAGCTAAACAGGCTCGTTCTCGAAATAGTCTCTTTTCCCATGTAAGTTCGTCGGTTCCTGATTGGCTCTCTCTAGCGGAGAGTCTCTTTCCGATATCTTAATAGAAATGGTGTTTGAGGAAAAAAAAAAAAAAAAAAAAAAAAGTTGTAAAAACTATTCATGAAAACCATGCCAAAAATGCATGTCGATGTCAAAGAAAATTAACGTTAAAATGTTGAATTTCTAACGCACCAATTCAGAGCCGGTCATTGGACCAAGCTAGTGAAAACCCTTGTGGCCGATTATTATATATACGATTTTTGGCTCTTAATTTCTAAAAACTGTGATTAATCTAGTGGTACGGATTAGGATTGTTCTTGTTTTTTCTTGGGTTTGAGCTTCTAAAGTTTCAGAAATACATTAATATATTTATTTTCTCGTTTTTTTCCAACAAAGCGGCCCAAAAAATTTTCTCTATGCACCAAAGAAGAAAATACATGTTTTAATTCTAACAAATCAATTAAAGGAGGAAAATACATGTTTTAGACAATATTTGAAATCCATTATGAGAAATGGTCTCCAATAGCCCTAAATGAAGTTTTTGTGACAAAAATAGCATCTCTTAGTTTATTTGACACAAATAGCACTCTTTTTAAAAATTTAATAAATAAAAAGAAAACAAAATGAAAAATAGCAATTCACGATTCACGCGACGGAGACGATTTCACGTGATAGCTGCCGGCGACGGAGAGAGCTGCCGGCGACGGAGAGAGCTGCCGGCGACGGAGAGAGCTGCCGGCGACGGAGAGAGCTGCCGGCGACGGAGAGAGCTGCCGGCGACGGAGAAAGCTTCACCAAAAGGAAAAGAAAGCATTCCACGATCCACTATAAGGCGACGGAGACGATTTCACATGCTAGCTGCCGGCGACGGAGAGAGTTGCCGGCGACGGAGAGATCTGCCGGCGACGGAGAAAGCTTCACCGAATTTCGATCTTCAAACTGGTCTAAATCGATCTCTTTCACCAATTTTTCCTTCTTCTTCTTCTCCAATCGTGTTGACGAAATTAGGCGTTTATTGTTGAATTATGGCTTTCGATTGTGGAATTAGGCAATGTAGGTGCGTTCATTGATTCAGCACAAAGAATTCTGATGTGTCATTGTTCATCTCTTACCTTTTTCATTGTTGGGCTTGATTGCATTAGAAATCTTATGTTTATCTATTTGTGAGGTTATTTTCTTCACTGATCTTGTGTCTTTCTGCGTTTTCAGGAATGTACCATCCACAAACATCAAAAACCTCTAATCTCTGAAGTAATTGTAAGTCTTGCCTAATGATATGAACGTTTTGTAGATTTTGGTGTTTTTACACTATATGTAAGTTGTATATTGTTGTTGGTGTTTGAAATTTTTTTGTGTGTTGCCTGTAGGATCAGAACGAAACATATACTTTTAGTGACTGTAGATGAGACCATAGACCATAGCCAAGTATACAAAAACATAGTAATTGATAAGTAGATGAGACTTGTAATTGGAAACTATTGATAAGTAGATGATTTACGAATTCTGATAGATGTTCTAGTTTGTTCATTGTACTTGGTTGTTGCTTTCTTTAGGTATGGTGTAGGTATGGTGGAGATATACTCTGTTTGTGGGAAGTGGAAACAAAATGAAAAGCTTCAGTGGGTTTTCTTAGTAGACACAGAGAAAGGTGGATCCCTTTGTGAGGTAGATGAGCATATTTCATACAAGGGATTAGTTGAGAGTGCTATGAACTTCCCCCAAGAATGAAGCTTATGTTGGAAGATTCTCTACCAATACATATTCGGAATGATCGCCAAGTTTGCACTTTCATCAAGAAGAAACAAGGAGATCCTGAAATAATTCGTTTGTGTGTAACGGTAAGTAAAAACGTATATGACTCTTTCTTGTATTAATTGTGGTCAGACTTACATTACATACTAAATTCTTTACTTTTGATCTTCTGGCGCAGGAACTTCATCGATCAACTGGAAGTGACATCTCAGTTTCTGTACCACCAAGTGATACATATTCAACAGCTGAAAAAGGACAAGGAAATTATTTATTATTTTTGCCTCCTGCTCGAGATTCTACTGTGATTGCTATAGGAATTTCACATTCAACGGCTGCACTTGAAAATCAGAAGGTAAAAACTCAATTTCATAGGTTTTAGGAAGGATACATTTAGTTTTAGGATGACCTTCCTAAATACTGCAATATACAGATATGATCCGTTTCTAGTCGTCTTTTTTTTTTTTAATTTGAACTCTTTTTCATATGCCTATCTATTTTTTGTGTTTGTAGGAACCTCATCCTTCAGTTGGAACTTCTTTTATCTCTGCTGCACATGAAAACCAGAAGGTAAAAACTCAATTTCATAGGTTTTAGGAAGGATACATTCAGTTTTAGGATAACCTTCCTAAATACTGCAATATACAGATATAATCCGAACTAGTCGTCTTTTTTATTTTTAATTTGAACTGTTTGTTCATATGCCTATCTATTTTTGTGTTTGTAGGAACCTCATCCTTCAGTTGGAACTTCTTCTATCTCTGCTGCACATGAAAACCAAAAGGTAAAAACTCAATTTCATAGGTTTTAGGAAGGATACATTTAGTTTTAGGATGACCTTCCTAAATACTGCAATATACAGATATGATCCGTTTCTAGTCGTCTTTTTTCAATTTTAACTCTTTGTTCATATGCCTATCTATTTTTGTGTTTGTAGGAACCTCATCCATCAGTCGGAACTTCTTCCTTCTCTTTGCCATATAGTGATACATGTTCAACGGCTGAAAAGGAAAGAGGCAATAAGTCATTGGATTTGATTCCTGCTCCAGATCGTAGTCCGATTCCTATAGGCGGTGTACACTCAACACGAGGTCCTGATGATATATATGTTAATAAATATTTCATGAACAAGGCTGAGTTAATGCAGAAGATGAGGACATGGGCGTTGGAGTATAAGTTTGAGTTTAGGTCTCGATGGTCTAACAAAGATAGAGTGGTTTTGGTATGTGTAGATGATAAATGTACTTGGAGGATGCGTGCAATAAGGGTAGTCTCTTATGATTTCTTTGTGGTGAAGAAGTATTGCCATGAGCACACATGTGACACTACACACAGAAATGCAAATCATAGGCAAGCTACTGCGAAGTTGCTAGGGACTTTTTACTGCAGCCACTATGGAGAAAAGAAAGAAGGATTAAGACCAAAACAACTAATGGAGCTAGTCAGGAGAGATCATGGAGTACACTTGCCGTATAAAAAAGCTTGGAGGACAAAAGAGGAAGCTCAGATTTTGGTTAGAGGTACTCCTGAGGATAGTTATTTCAATTTAGTGAAATGGTTGTTCATGGCAAAGGAAAAAAATCATGGAACAGTTGCTTACCTTGAGATGGATCCTAAGGGGAAATTCAGATATGTGTTCATTGCGTTTGGCCCGTCGATTAGAGGTTTTGCTTTGATGAGAAGAGTCGTTGCTGTAGATGGTACATTCTTGAAAGGAAAGTTTAAGGGAACTTTGCTAGCAGCTACTGCACAAGATGGAGATTATCACTTATACCCGATAGCATTTGCGATTGTTGATTCAGAAAATGAAGCGTCATGGAGTTGGTTCTTTAGATGTTTGCTTAGTATCATCCCTGATGCAGCTGATTTGGTATTTGTTTCTGATCGTGCTCCAACCATTGCAAAAGCACTTTCAGATTTGTATCCGCTTTCCCATCATGGAATCTGCACGTATCATCTTGGGAACAACATCAAAACAAAGTTTGGTAGTCAAAGTTTTTTGCCACTTGTTGAAGCTGCAGCAAAGGCCTATACTTATCAAGCATTTGCAGAGGTTTTCAACGACATACGAATTTCTAATTCAAATTTGGCTGCATATTTAGAAGAGGCTGATTTGAGGAAGTGGGCTCGATGTTTTGCTCCGTCACACCGCTACAATATAATGACAACAAATATTGCAGAATCGTTGAATTCCATGTTAAAAGAACCTCGGGAACTTCCAGTGCTTTCTCTTCTTGAGACTATGAGGTTAACCTTAACCACCTGGTTTCATGAACGTCGGGAAAAAGCTGCAAAACACAACAAGCGCCTTACTCCTAATGTTACAAAGGAGATGGTCTTAAGGTTTAGGGAGGCAATGACACTCGACGTTTCCCGGGTTGATCAATTTGAGTTTGAAGTCAAAGACAAACACAATAAATTTGTTGTCCATCTAAGGAATAAAAATTGCACTTGCTGCGTTTTTGACATCGACAAAATCCCTTGCATTCATGCAATTGCTGCTTCGAAGCGAACAAACATGTATGAAAACAAACTAGCAGATGATTTCTACTTGACAGATACATGGGCTAAAGCATATGCTGAGAGCATACATCCGAGTGGAGATGCAAAGAATTGGGTTTTTCCTGATTCTATAACTGGTTTTTTCTGTGCACCACCAGAAACTAGGGTAAGCAGTGGTAGACCGCCGAAGAAGAGATTTCGATCTGCTGGAGAGTTTGGTGTACCAGGTTCAAAATCTCAGAGACACAAATGTGGTAGATGTGGTAAAGAAGGGCATAATAAGACTACATGCAGATCCAAAATATGATAAATTTATCGACTGAATTGTCTTTATCCCTTCTGTGTTTGTCCAGGAAAAAATTAAAGACGTAATCTTCAAATTTATTTTAGGACTTCTTTTCAGTATTTTAGGAAGGCCTTCCCGAAACTACGATTTTCAGGCATTCGATTTTTGTTCGATCATGTAATGATTTGAATGATATCTTCATATGTAGTAGTAATGTTATTTGTTTGAAATAAAAGCTATGACTTACTGTTTACACATTTTCTGAGGGCAAATGATCTATAAAATCTCTTTTTATGTCATGATGTGTTTCGTATTTAATAGAAATATATACGTTCGTTTGTACCAGACTTTATAATTATAAGCTTGGCTCACTGGTTACATGTTCTATTACAAATACAATAGATCCCGGTTTCGAATCCTAGTGGATGTAACTATTACGGTTTTTTATTTTAGGGAAGGCCTTCCTGAATTTTTGGGAACCCTTCCTGAATTTCAAAAATTGTTTACTTTTGGATAGTTTGCCTCATATTAATCACAATTTACATATATTTTGAGGGTTAATGATCTATAAAATCTCTTTTTATGTCATGATGTGTTTCGTGTTTCATAGTAATATATGCGTTCGTTTGTGCAATATTTACAATTAGAAGCTTGGCTCACTGGTTACATGTTCAATTACAAATACAATACGCCCCGGTTTCGAATCCTGGAGGAAGTAACTATTACATGGATAACCTGTAGGAAACAAATGGTATCTAACAAAGTAGCATACATTGAATATCTCAAAAAAAACATAAATAGAAACATATGATACTTTTCTAGTTCAGAACCATCATAGAAGTACCAAAACAGTCTAAAACGGTTTCACAAGCATCATACATCCAATAAAGAAACATAGTCCTAAGAAATCTTAACACACTCATTGAAGATATCCACAGCCAACTTGTTTCTGATGTCTTCTGAATCTATATCACGCAGCTTGGAGAAATCTTCAATCTTCATCGAGTGGCATTGAATCATCTTCAGCAGAAAAAGAGAACAGTTTGCATCGACCTTTGTGTGAATAATGTTCTTCTTCGGAATGGTTACCTGATATGAAGTGGAACAGTTTAAGATGGCGGAATCAACTCTGCAAAACATACAAAATATCAGTCAAACTCATGGATTTTACTGTAATTGAAAGAATTATACTATACCTGTAAGTGGAGTCACGTGGGTAGATATTATGTTTTTGCTTTTCTCAGTTTGACAGTCCATGACTGTAATTCTCCTATCTAACATGTTGATCTCCACCCCAATCCATTGGTTACACTCTTTGCTGTGTATAACACCATAGACCACATCAATTTCTTCTCCCCATTTTTTGTTTGGTGGCACTTCTCCTTTGACAACATCAGTTAACTCCACAGGAAACTCATATCCCTTTTTATCCTTTTTGAAAGCAAAATAGCAGTCTGCCAAATTCCTCATAAATTCTATAGTAAAAAAAACTTGCCCTTGGCAGTCTTCTGTTACGAAAGAAGGTTGGATCTCTATCCCTTTGCATACACATCATTGTTAATGCTGCATTGATATGCTACATATACAAAGTATAATTTGTATTAGTATAATAAAAGCCAAATAACAGACAACCAAGTAACAGACACTTACCGTTGCGTGCAGATATGTTTCTAGTTTTCCGAGCTCATCAAACCATTGCGGGGTCAATGGTTGGAGACATTGTTGATCAGTCCTGCAATTATCATAAAAAGTTTTTAACATTATGTATCAGTAATGCATTTTCCTTTGTTTAGAGTTTATATTTAGTTTTACAGAAATCTAACCTTGTTTCAGTTTTTTTGGATTCTTTCCACGCCTTCAATTCTTCAACCATATCGAAAGTCGGAGACAGTAATGGGTCGAAGATTGGATGTCTGCCTGCTGCTGGGTTCCGTGGAGCCTTATAAGGAGTGACAAGAGGTTGTGATGGAGTAGCGACTCGATTGCTACGCCTTAGAATCTGCTGGTCATTACCACGTGATTCGAGTTTCCTTTTCTTCATCCTTTTTAGGTGATTATCAGCCAAGGTGTTATCAGCTTGCCTTTTGTTGCCTTTCTCGTCAGCTTTCTCCTCCGGTGGAGTAACAATCTTCAGATCAAACGAAGGTGTCTTGATCCTTTTAAGTTTTTTTCCACCCTTCTCCTTCTCTTTCAGGCTCTGTTCACCCTTCTCCTTCTCTTTCGGGCTCTGTTCACCCTTCTCCTTCTCTTTCAGGCTCTGTTCACCCTTCTCCTTCTCTTTCAGGAGCTGTTGTTCTTCCCATCTCCACGAGTACCTTATCTTATCAAAGGTGAACATATACTCTTGGCCCAAATCTTTCATAAGGACATGGAGTTTAGGTGGCCTAATTGCTCGGACTTCTCCTTTCTTCCATTCGTTCTTGTAAAAAACCTCAACCTCTTCCATCAACATTATGCCGCCAGTATAGTCTTGAGCAAGTGTTGGTCTCGAGTCATCACGATTCTCAGCATTCACACCACTATCTTCAGTATCTCTTTGCAAACTTGGATCCTACAAAATTCAGAAGAGACTTCAATTAATGAGGACTTAATACTCTATAACATACTTAGGAAGACTTTCCCGGACCAGTTTTAATCCTTCCCAAATTACTACAAACCACAACTCACCTCACGCTGAGCATTATCTTCACTTGAAGAATTGATATCCTGGGTTACCTCCTGTGCTTGGTTCTCAGCATTTGTCTCATCTTGGTTCATCTTCAAATCCAAGATAGTAATTATTTGAGTTACCTTTTCTACAAAGTTTAAGATTTAAGAAAGCTGTAGAAATCTTTATTTTACCTCATTTGTAGAACTAATCTTCTGGGTTATCTCCTCTGTTTGGGTCGTCTTCTGAGTCTGGGAAATCTGAGTAAGAGGGACAGTATGTTGCTCAGTTGTTTGATCAGGTGCTTGCTCATCTGCTTTCTCAGCTGGTTGTTCAGTAGCCATAGTAGGTGGGGGATTGTTGAAAAAGAAATCATTTTCCCTAGGAGATGGAGTTTCTGGTCTTTCCCTCTACAAGAAGAAATCAAACCGTTCATTTCATTTTCTATAACATCAGTGAAGTTTTTTAAGAAGCTTATATTACCTGATCTTTTCTTTTTCTTGCACTAAGTATTCTCAGCTTCTTCTCCATCTTTGATAAGCGTTGATTTGTTGATTTGAACCCATCTTCAACCAGCTTGTATAGCTTGTCAAGCTTCTCCATTAATGACTCGCCTGATGAAGATGGTTTCACTGCCTCCTTGTTACAGAACATATAAGAGTTCATAGCAACCTCTTCCACCACAGCTCCAACGTCAAGTGATCCTCTTCGCCAATCTTCAGCTTTCATTTTGTAGCCTTTGGAGAGAAGTTCGACCAGCAAACTCAATTCAGGATCATCTTCGTCTTCCAATGAGACTGTATCTTCAGGATCATTAGGTATTGCAGGTAAGATGCAAGTCACATTCAACTGCACAGAAACAGAATGTTCAGGACATCAGGATATCAGTCTTCATGAATTTAAAATAGTAATATCACCAACAACATATTTAGGAACACCATCCCGAATTACTATAAATACTTCCCGAAACCATCCAGAATTACTATAAATACTTCCTGAATTTCTCTAAGTTCTTCCATTAAGTTAAAAACAGAGAATGAACTTACATTGTCTGAAGCTTCTAAGTTTTCTATTTGCGGAATTTGTGGAGTTGTTGTGCTCGTGTACCTCTCACAAATGAATGCAGTCCGAGGCTCGAGCAAATTCACTTTGCTTAAGCTTGATTGCAACACTGGAATGGATTCCAGAATCCAGAGATGGAGAGCCAACGGATACCCTTGGATAGTATACTTACTCTTCAACAATTTAGATGGCACAACAGAATTAATCGAGGACAACAGCACCTTGAAGGCATCTATCCCCCATGGATAGTTGAGGAATTGATGCACATTTTGAGCTCTCTTAAGGTGAGCTGCAGGGAACTTGTTGCCTTTATACAAGTTGAGAAAGATACACTCCGTCAACAGGAGCATCGCAAGAAGGAATCTCTCGTCCCCTGAATTTCTACTAGTGTTTCTCAATATCTCTAACAGCTCCTCAGATGTGTGTTGCTGACTGGTATTTGCCCAAGCATAGCGATTATCCTGCACATTTTCAGCAGCTTCCTGGGGAGAACATTTCAATCCAGTAACCATATGAAATTCTCTAATAGAGAATTTCATAGGTTGGCCCCCGAAATGAAACCACAACTCATTTTTCTTCGCTGTCGTTAAGCTTCTCGCCAAGAAACAATGGATCACCTTGCCTGACAGATTTAATCCCCTTGCTTCAGCCTTCAGAACGGGTCCTAAAAACGATTCTCTGATTCTCTGAAACTCTGTAGGAGTGAGGATCTTTTGTACTTTCTCGATAAACTCATATCTTGCACATTGATTTATCCCCTCATTTGAATTTGGCTCCTGTACTATATGGTACAGAAGCGTTGGCAGTTTGACATCTGTTGGAAACGAATCTCCCATTTTCCTGCAACTAAAATTAAAGGAAATCAGTAAACAGAAATATTCAGGAAGACCTTCCCGAATTACTATAAGTCCTTCCCGAATTAGGATGACCTTCCCGAATCAGGAAGACCATTCTAGAATGCAAACTAAAACAACTCTATCAAGCAAAGAGAACAGACAATAACACTACAGAAACAAGTAAAGAATGTTTATTCATATCTTCATATCACAAACTTGAATCTATAACTATGTGACGATATATCTCTCAAATTGTGACAAAAACTAAACTCATCTAAAGTGATAAACTCATCTTATACTGTCTTAGTCTTAAACAGTCTTAGTAACTGTATTAGTCTTAAACAGAACACTCTTAGTCTTAAATTGTCTTAGCTTGTAATGTATCAGTCCAATAGATCACAAAAATCTTCACCAGAAAAAAAAAAAACTTAAAGAATTAAAAGAATCCAGAGATGCAAATGATGATAATAATACTTCTCTTATGCTCAATAATCTTAAATAATTTAAAAAGACAAAGTAAACAAGTCATCGCTCTTGCTTGCAAATACAAAAGAAGAAGCTTTTTCTACTTGAAATCTAAATACAACGACAAACAAATAATTATGGGTCTGTAAAACATAGTGTATGTGAAACAAAGAAAGCTGAAGCATGTTTGCATTTACGACAAAGACGTAGCAGGACCACCTATAGATAAATCAAACTAAAAGTGACCATAAACATTATACCCACGTCCTATTCTAGTCACAATCACAAGTACTTCCAAGCTGATATTTGAAAGCATATCCATAGAATCAGCAATAATGCATATGTTTAAAAACTAATGTAATATAACATTTTTCAGTAAGATCTCTGATAATAAACGGATTTCTATAACAAAATAAACCCAAGACAACAACTTTAAGCCTTTAACGTCAAAGTTGGACACACAAAGTTATTTGAATGTCAATGATGAATTTTGGGGATGATTATTGATGGAAAGCTCTCAAATTTGATAAAACATTGTTAAAGAATCTGTGAGAAACTATCATTGTGTTGTTAATTACCAGCCATAAATCTAAGTTAGCCTACTACACATGAAGTCTCTTTTTTGTATGGTCCTTTAGAGTTAATGTTACTAGTGTATAGATGACCAAACCAAAAGGAGCAAAGTAGCCTACTAATAGTCAAGCCAAAAAATTGAAACTTCAAAGTATCACTAAAGCAACAATGAGTATCACACTTGATTCGATCAACAATGAGTATCTCACTAATTCAAAAGCCCTAATTCTTCGAATTTGCGATGATGGGAAGTGTCAGATTTTAAAACCAATTTAAACATCCCCAACGGATCATGTGACCCAGAATTCACTAAAAAAATTGACTCGAGAAATCTGATAAAAACAAGACAAGGAGGATAGAGATGTACCTTCAAAGCCTTGAGCTTGATGTTGCGATAGATGAGACCCAACCCAAAAGCCGAAGCACGGACAACCTAAATCGATACAAAAAAAAGACAAGTCAATGATACGGATCGAGAAATTGATCGGGGGAGAGAGAGAGATAGTTTAGTTTACCAGAGCAAGAGTGTTGGTGCCGGAGTAAAGAGGATTCCGGCAGAGACTTTGCAGATTCCGGCGGAGGCGATGAATCCAATTTTCCTGAACAATCGGCGTCGAAGCAGTCGGGTTTGTTGGAAGCGAAACATTCGTCGATTAGGTTTTCTGTATTTTCTATTTTAATTAATTTTTAGAGGATTAAAAACTTTGTGTGCTATTTTTGGAAGTTTCAAAAGAAGGTGCCATTTTTGGAATAATAAACCTTTTTAGTGCCATTTGTGTAAATTGCCCATCTATTATTACAAAAGTTAACACTTAACAATTAAAATGTAGGACAATTTAGATCCAAGCGAATTCGAGGTTAAACCATTATTTGGTTATTTATTATTTCAAATATTAAAAGTCCAAAGCATTATGGAAACGCGAAATTCAAGTGTGGATATTACGTTTAATAACTTTTCTACTTTAATCAAGTTATGTTTTATTACTTTTTTTTTTAATGTGTATCCATTAATCTTTTACTCAACGTTGTAATTAGTATGGGAACAAATAAATTGAAAATTTCTGCAAGAAAAATAAAGTTTTATATAAATGGAGGGACAGTGACCCATAGATTATGACTAGATTCATGAGAATCTCGCTTTAATTTACAATAATATCCTCGTCGTAATTAGAGAAAACTTGCATATGGGTATGAAGTCCTCACAAGTTGCACCACTCATTCTCCACTAAACATTAGTTGACCTATGACCTAAACAAACACTTTTATATCTTTCAATATAATTGGTTGGCCTATTTTTGAATTACGGCGATTTTTTTTTCTCTGTTTTGCTTGTTATCAGATAATAATGTTGTAATGTTTTGTATTAATATAATGTAAAATATTGTAATCCAGTTTTAAACGCAACAACAGAAATATGCTTGTCAAAAGTAATATTCGAGATTAAAAGTTAAACCATCAACAGTAATATATGTAAGGTGTGTTCTTAGAGTTCGTCTTTCAAAATATATTTCAATTTGAATAGTTTTCGTAGAACATGACTAATTTATCTGAAAGACTACACAAAATTAGATGGATCCCAAAACAGTTTCACCAAATTTTCTTCATCAGGTGTTTAGAATCCTACCCTCTCTGTTAAAATTGTAGCTATTTGATCAAAAACACATATATGATTGCTTATGTTAAAGCTAATATTTTATGGACTTTGTATCATATGTTTTACTTTAAATTACGTTTTTAACTAAAGTACTAGAAGTAAGTAAACAATTCATGCTATTTTACGTCGTCTAACTAATATTTCTTTCCTCATATAGAATAAGTAAGTCCAAACATACGTATATTGGTGAATTTTAAACAATTTAAATAAATAAATATAAAACTGAAATTGCTATATGGAATGCATACATACACATTGACATATAAATAAATATATGTGATACTTAATAATTTGCGAAGTTTCCAAGATTGTTGGCATCGACTCATTGTTGACTCATCACGATGAAATTAATTTGGCAGCTCATGGGCTGTCTTTTTCAGTTTACTAAAACCTTTGGCATGTGGGTTTTGAAAGGACTCAACTTGCTTCTTGCTTAAAAAGGACTCAACTTGTTGAATTCACTAATTAATATTCTATATAAAGTACTATATAAAATTCATCCAAGGACCCACGAAAACATTACACAAGAGGATACAATATTAGTTAAAAAAATGGTTTGGCAAAGAAAACAGGAGTACACATAGCTGTTAAAATGTACATGCTATATCAGTTTCGTGTGGTGAATTCTGGATTTGTCTTTTTCTATTTGTATACATATTACATATTTGTTATATATGTGTACAATTTGTTTTTAAAGGTAAAGAAAAATCATAATGATTAGGTGAATAAGACACAAAACTGATATAACTGGCATTCTATGTAATATTCTACAACTTAAAGGTTTTTTATTATCTAATGATTCCCAATTAATAGTATACATTCACAGACGTGGTGAAGGTAAAGGAAAATGATAATGATTTGGTGAATAAGATACAACAAAATTGTAAAAAAAATTGTAAACAAATATAGTACCATAGGTCTGATACTGACAAATGCTCGGGTTATTTGTTTATTTAGCTACTCAAACACAGTTAACTCAACTGTGATTGAAAAATATATCAGATCATTATATAGATTAGCAGCAATTTATCTAAAAACAGAAAAATATGGACCAATTGTAGAATAAAATATTTTATCAAAAAGAAAAAAAAAACTAACTGTAGAATAATAGTTTTTAAAACACTAGGTTGTGCTCTGCTTTACACACATGGCTTAATTATAGTTTAGAATTTGATTTTGACGTTGTCGGTATGATTTTATTTAAGCATGAGTGCAAAGAGTAAGGCGGTAGTATCAATACAATAATAACCCTTGAATCTCTCCAGAGGTTGACACCTCAGCTTATTTAAGCATTGTGGTGTTGACACCTCAGTTAAAATGAATGACCAATGAAAACATTCTAAATAATACGTACAATTCATTTTTCATATCCAATAAGAACCTTTCATTTTTCCACATTATTCTCTTATATAGAAATATCAAAATGGGCCTAAACTCATGGGCTTAACCTAGTCCGGTCCGGTTATGAACACAAAATATTAAATCCGTTAAAAAAAGGAACTTGCGGGCAATCCTACACGAATTACGGATTTTAGAAAGTTATGCCCGAAGATTGACAGATTGGCCCGTGCTACATATATATATAAAAAAATTAATATATCATATATAGAATTAAATATTTTATATATTTTTGTAAATATAATATGTCAAGAATATGTGATAATATAAAATTTAAATTATAAAATTATTATATTTACAAAAATGATAGTATTAAAAGTTTTTTAATGGTGTTTACACGTTAGCTTTTCAAGCTATTCTCAAACTAACACATCATTAAAATTGATACATAATCAAAATATAAGTACTAAACAAAACTGAACATGGTAATTAATTCAGCATCTCTAACTAATACGTTCTTTGAAATTCTAATTATTAATTCTTTAAAGTTGCAAAAGATATAAAATAATTAGTAAAATTTAATATTTATAAAATTTACTATATTTAGAGTGCACATGGTAATGATACTTTTTGTAATAATTGGTTCCGAATAGTATAAAAGTAAACAATCAAGCTCTAAAATTTTATTTAATTATATCAAATCACTAAATAAAAAATTCAAAAAATACCTTTGCTACGAAAATAAATTATTAACTGAAAAATATACTAGAATTTTACTTTTGAAACATCATCTTTTCATTAGATATTAACGTTGGCAATAGAGACTATAATTATAATTACAAAGTCTAATTACATAAATAAAAATCTAATCCCTAGAAGTAAAATTTTTTACAATTTAAGTAAAGATAAAACATTAAATTATAAACACTAGGTTTCTCCAGTGTGCTGACACCTCAGCTTTTTGGAGTGTTCTGGACATGACACATCATTAAAATCATCATCCAATAAAAATATTTGGATTAATACACATCAGATTTTTTGGCCAATAATCATCCCTTCTGCTTTTATTAATATTGTCTCATTTGTTCTTGGGCTCTAACATATGGGCTTAATATTTTAGAATAGGATTGTTGGACTTCAATTTAGGGCTTGATTGGTTCTCCCACCTAGCGGTTGTTAGCGGTTGGTTGCGGTTGTTAGCGGTTGGTACCAATCATAGAAACCGTTCCATACCACTTCGAATAGTTCGAAATCGCTGGATTTTAAAAGCTCATTTCCGCAAGCGTTTGCGGTTGCGGACGGTTGCGGTTGGTTTAAAAAAGGAAAAAAACTAAAAAAGAAAAATGAACAAATTTAAATATATATTATCAAGTCTTATGTATATTCACGTTAATTCTTAAAAAAAAAATTATCTAACTTTAATTTTCCAATATTAATAATTATTTTTGTTTTCAATATAAAATTTATTTGAATAATTATTTATGGTTTTTAATCATTAATCATGTTTAAAATTTTTATATTTTTTCATAATTATAGTTTTTGGTGTTTTTATACTTTTTATAATCATATACTAAATTTATTTTGGTAAATTTTGGTTTAACCGCTATTGTACCCGCTGATCAACCAGTCGTAAATCTCCCGCAAACGTATTCATTTTTAACCACTAAACCAGTCGGTCAAAATGCTAAATAATGCTTGAAACCGCAACCGTCCGTTTCCGCAAACTCCCACAACCGCAACCGCTACGTTTAAACCAGTCAAGCCCTTACTTGTAATGTTTACCCTTTGGATAAAATTGGATACAAATCGAATTAGTTAAGAACTATTGCAATAAAATATTATAAGATTTATTAAGCGTTATCATAGATCTTAATGAATAACTAAAAATCATTTGAGTAACGTTCTATACTCCTATAACAAACAAACAAACAAATCTCTTAGCCTTTTACGCCTCTTCAACATATAAATCAAATATGCATATGGAACATTAAAATCAAAGATGATCATTCCATATAACATATTTTCAAGTATCTAAGTCATGAGTTCTATACAGCTATGGCATGTCCATATATATATATATAAGTCCGATCGAATCAAATATCATAACTTTTGTCAAAAAATAAAAGCTCAATGATTTCATCGACGATATATTCAAATCGGAGAAAACAAAAACGGAAACTTGAGAAAAAAATAAGAGGAAAGAAAGATATTTACTTGTGGGCACTGAATTCAGATTCCAATTACATCACTCGCTGAGAAAAAGACGTAGGAGATTTAGAGTTCGATTGCGGAACACCGCCATAGCTCCCCCGCACTCCGGTGATAGAAACTCTTTTAGACATACAGTGAAACAATCGTCTCTTATTGGCTGCCATTAGTGAAAGTCTTTCAGATATGAAAGCAAAGGTCTTCCTTTTTTTTCCTCTCCGTTTAACTGTTTATCTAATCTATCTCTCTCCTTTGTTCATCTGTTTTTCCAGAAAAAAATGATCGTTTTCGGACTTTTTC